CCACCTCATCACACCCCGACAGTGGGGCCCGCTCCACTATTTGAGAAGCACTGTTTTACACCAACCCTCTCCATGTTCTTTAACCGGTGTCGCCCCCCCCTTCCCCCCCAGCCTCTCCCCCATTGACCAGGGCCACTAGTGCGATCAATAACATTAGCTGGTTCTTACGCCAGGCTAGGCTAGGCTAGTTGGCTCTAATGACCACATGCATAATAAATCATCTCCAATGAGCCCCTCTGCCTCAGCCCCGCTAATAATAGCCATATATTACAGAATCATTTCCAGCTCTAATGGGCTGAGCTGACGGTTGTGAAGTGGGCCCCGGTCGCCGGCCCTGACACGGTCAACACTCGCTCTGCTCCTCCCGAGTGCAAATTGAGTGGATTTGTGTCTTGATTTGTTTTCCTGTTATCATTGTTACGCTACGCTGTGCGCTAATCGCTGCTCGCTGAGCAAACACATGAAGTCACCGGGTGAGATCAGCGGCGATCCGCCGGATACGTTTGATGTTTGACGACATGTTGGAGGAGTTTAATCCAGTTTCGGTAATCGCAGTGGAATAACAAATGACTCAAAGAACCGACGCAGACACGGAGCTGCGCGTCGTTTAAGGTTATCTGCAGTTGCAGACGGCCCGGGTTTAACAAGGCTGGGCGGATAATTCGGCTCCTGTACGAGCCTCGTCAGAAATAATCTGCAGCGCAGACATAAAAACGCTGATCTCGGCGTGTGTCTCTCACCCTGGGAGAATTCACATCCGCCTATTATTTCCTCTATTGATTTTTTTTCTTTCTCTTTCTCTCTGACTTTGTCTCAGATGTTGGTCCAACACCACCCTCCGTACTTGACATTCTCAGAGTGATAAAAGTTAGTCTGCAGCAGCCGCACATACATTAGAGAGGAGTGCAGCCTCAGCCCCGCACCGTCTGACTCACACGTGATGCTAAGACACTCACACTCCCACACTCGCACTCACACACACACACACACGCCGGGAGGAAAAGGCTCGACACACAGCAGACGCCGCTGTTCCTCTGCCTGTCGGCACGCTGTGTAAATTTTACATGAGAGCTAAGCTGATGTGTGTGGGATGTCACTCTGCCTGATGTGTTTGCCAGAACATGGAGGCTGCACGAAGGCGCTGAACCCGACACCAGAAGACATGATGGTGGTGGTGGTTATTTATCCATCCGGATTTGTGCTGTTTTCATTCAGACATTTGAATTTTTCTTTTATCCACTGGTTGGAGAACCTGATGAAATGAGACGTAACAGAGCTCAACACTGACACACATTCTTCTTCTTCTTCACCATCATCTTCTTCATCTCTTTTCTAGTTTTCTTCTTGTTCATCTTCCATTTCTTCTTTCTTCTTCTAAACCAGTGTTTATCAATTATTTTCGGTCATGCCCCCCCCTTGAGGACAGAAATGTTTTCACGCCCGCCCCCCTTCCCTTCCGACCCACACCCTAGTCCTTGAAATACTATTGAGAGCCTGATAACGTGTATATTTATATATGTACAAACCACTGTATGAGTTGCTGCCACCTAGTGACCGGAGGCTTGTTAACATTCAAGCCACCTCATCACACCCCGACAGTGGGGCCCGCCCCACTATTTGAGAAGCACTGTTTTACACCAACCCTCTCCATGTTCTTTTTCATGACGTCCATGAATCTTCTCCGGGGTCTTGCTCTTTTCCACTCCTCCATCTCCATCATCCTCCACATGTCCAAACCATCTCCACCTCTGACTGTCTGTCATCTCCATCCACACTGCTCCACCTTCATTGTCCTCTAATCTCCCAGTGAAGATCTCAGCATCTTCATTTCCCGACACCTTGAGCTGAGACACTTTTTCCCCCACAGAATTAACTTTGAGGATGCAGCCGGAGGCTGATATTAAAAGAACATGACGACACCGTGTGTTCGGTGGTCGTACACTCTGTGTCACTGTTGTCGATTATCTCTACTTGACTACACAGTGAATTACTTTGTAATGAATTAGATCTCAGGCAGAGATAAAGCTGCCGGAGCGTGGTGATTCAGAGTCATTGACCTGTGACACAAAGTCAAGACAACGTGGGATAATGATGTCACGTCCAGCCCAGATGGTGGAGCTGAAGGAGAAGGAGAGCCCATACTCTCCCTATTCTCTAAATGCACAGCTAAATGCTACCTTAAAGTTAAGACTTTAACAAAAACAGTTCACATGTTCACCAAATATTTATATATATTTTTTTCTTATATTTACTAAACAAAACCTGTTTAAACCTAATTCAACCCTAACCCCATCATGTTGTTAGGTCCTACATCAGGGTGTCCACACTTTTTTGGCTTGAGAGCTTCGATTCAAAGGTCTAGGCTAAAGCGATCAGCCTTGAAAACCTTAAATATATATTTACTCATATAATATATTTGAGTAAATATATTATATTTACTTTATATTAATGTATACATTGTTAGTAAATATTAGTAAATTCATATATTTACTGTATATGGTCACTACTACACACTACAGAAATATATTTATATATTTTTTTTATTTCAGTTGCTCATGATCTAACAGCATTTCCTTTGTGATCCACTACTTGGGCACTGCTGTCGTACGTTCTCTACCTTTAAACAGTAATAATTCTCTTTGCTTCACCCCAGAGCCATCGTGACAACACAAATGTTATTTTAATGGTTAATGATCATTATGTTGACATACGAAGCGCTAACGTTATCTCACTAATATACACTAAGATAATATCGTTCATTAAAAAAACTTAAGGTTTTGTCCTTTTGGCGAAGCAGCCGCATCGTTCATTCGACCGCTGTCCTCCCATTTTAATCAGTATGTGCTCTGTGCAGCACTTTTAATTTGTGCCTCAGCAAGACATTGGGTTTGGGGGGGGAGAGAGGAGGGAGCGGAGGGGGGGCTACACCATTAACATAACTGACATTTATTTGCAGCAGGAAAGCAAAAATGAAGAAAGAGCAATGCTGGAACAAACTTTAGAATCTCTAATTTTGACATTAAATCTGTTGGAGAACAACAGGATCTAAGTTAGTATGTTAACTGTCGTCAATTAAATGTGAAATATAATAATAATAATAATAATAATAATCAGTATAAATGTGACCTCTGAGTGAAAGAATTGTTGCACGACTCATGAAGCTCATGAAGTGTGACGTGTGGCAACAAAAATGATAAGAAATAAAAAGAAATAAAAAGGAAATTATCTGATAAAGAGCAGCTCGTTAAAATTAATGGCAGTGAATTTTTCTCACAAACAGCAGGGTTCAAACGGCCAGGACTCGTTAGCTTGATGTAATGGGTTAGCGAACACACAAACACTGCTTTTAGGAGCAAATATGCATCATTTGAAGAGTCTAATTTAATATTACTGTTGCTGACCAAGTACATGAGCTGCTGTCTGAGAACATGATGACCTACATGTTTACTTTTTTAACCACAGCAGGTTCTGCACTTCCCATTTCTAAAGTTAATAGAGCAGCGTTTCTGGGATGAGGCGTCGCAGCGTGTTCCTGCCAAACCTTTGACTCCGTGTGTGAAATATTTACACCATAAAGCAACACGGAGTGAAATTCAGGCTCGTCTGGCTGCTGCAGCAGCGTCCAACACAAATGGATCCAGAAATGACGTGTTCTCCAGTCAGTTTAAAATGTTCAGTCTCTTCTTTATTTCTGTATAGATGTTACTACTCCATAACATATTAATACATGTTTCTGCAATTGATTATTATTCATTCAAGTTACAAATATTCTTCACTGCTCTGTGTAATAAAGAAAATAATTGATCAAATTAAGAAACTCAGCAGCATGGACTTCAGTATGCGGCAAATCAACAATTTTTAAACTCCCGCGGGCCACACAAAATGACTCCCGCGGGCCTTGATTTTGACACATACGGACTAGACCAGGGGTGTTAAACTCATTTTGGTTCCACACACGGCCTAATTAGCTGTGAAGTGGACCGGACCAGTTCAATCATAACATAATTACCTTAAATAACAATAAGTCCATGATTGTTTCCTTCTTGTTCTCTTGCAAAAAAACACGAGTGTTAGAAAATATTCATATTTAATGAAATATAGTTTGACAAAACTTCACGAACATTAAGCAATTGTGCTTTTTTTTTCACTTCCAAAATTCATCTAGCGGGCCGGATTGAACCCCGTACTGGGCCGGTTTTGGCCCACGGGCTGTATGTTTGACACCCATGGATGGATGGATAGGCTGTAGATGATTTATTTTTTTAC